AAATTACCCAGTCTGTGGTATTCTGTTATAGCAACAGAAAACAGTGTAAGACAATTGGGTTAAATAAAATGTATTATTAAAATTAATTTTACCATTTTTACTTTTTAAAACATGGCCACTAGAAAATTTAAAATTACATATGTGATTCCTTTATATCACTACTGGAGAGCACCAATCTAGTCCATGTAAAGAGGTCTGGGCACTTTTAAATGAGGTAGCATGATGCCTGACATCATCAGATTGGTAGTTCAATATCTTCAGATGTCATATGCTAGATTCTGATTCCAAATAGAAGATTCCTGTTCCAAAATTTTATTCCTCATAATACTTACCACAATATGACTGAAAATGCTAGTCTTGGCAAGGGAAAGAATTGTTTTATCATCCAAACTAGTAAGTTTTGGTCGGGGCTTGATCCTGGGCTGCATTTTTATAACTTCATCATCAAATTTCAAATCCTGGGACAATACTGCTCCTTCTGAATTTTTTTTGCTTTCTTCTAGAATAACATTGTTGAATGAAGAAAATAAAGAGTGAGCCTTGACCTAAAAAATTTATTAAAAATATCAATATCAAAAATTCAGTTGCTATATTTTTCATTTTGAAAACAAATAGGCTGTGTAGAAAAGATGAATTGACTCTTTTCAGTTATACAGTAGTATCTACGATGATCAGAATTACATTAGGAAATCTATGAAAGCAGATTAAGATTGTAGGCTAAGCGTGGGTGTGTCCATTCCCACCCACTGAAAATTTCTTAAAACTGGCAAAAGATGTAATTAAATATTTCATAACAGTGGAGAAGGTGCCGACAAAAGACTAGAAATTATGACATATAAATCAGAAGGGACTGAACTGACAGAAAAATAGGAGCAGCAATGTAATCTCTAGCCAAAACATATGCAGAAGATAAGCACTTTGAAGACCAGATCCAGAGAAACTTGATGTTCAGAGTGAATAAATAAAAGACCAAGAGGATGCTCTAGTTATCAGGTAATTAAATAATTATGGTAAGAACTGTGAATGAATGAACAAGAGCTACATGAATAAACAGAACT